CATTGCATCCCATAAGGCAGTAATCTTCACTGTCACTGTCATGAGAATAACAACCTCCTATGTTTAAATGTAAATTTAATGTAACTGCTACATACCATTATGGCAAGAAAAATAGTCTAGAATGTCCCAAGAGATATTTTCCTTGATTTTAACACAGGACAGGAGCTGTAACATTATATACTGACTGCAGATTGGCAAAATAATGTTACATTTTACATGCATGACCTTTATTTTGTTCAGCAAAACTGAATTTCAACTATTATGACCAAGTTCATTCCAGAAAACATAACTTCATTTAGCTGCCCTATGTAATCAACATAGGTACAAGTTTACGGAAAAATAAACAGAGAACTGGGCATATTTACAACAAACATAGAGCAGCTGTAAAACAGCTGCCTCACATGTCACAAAACTACAGAAAATAACACAACTGAGAGAATACCGAAACCTTTCCTTTACATATGAGACTCCAAATCATCTGTATATGACTTGTTATTAAACTATTTTCATAAGATATAAATGTCTGAAATAAGACTGTCAATGTTACATCATTGTATGAACAAAATGGCAACATTTTGACTCTTGCAATTCCAAGAAAAAATATGAGTACCAGTGTCAAGTGACCCTCCATATCAAATATTTCAACCAATTCATACTGCTAGATGTAACTGTTCCCTGGTAGTAGAGACAAAAGTTAGGCCAGTGATGGCAGGAAATATGCATATCTTTCATTCCTAAATGATGAATGGTAACTGTTGCATGTGTTAAGTCTTTGGAGGTTGGCACTATAAGCGTAAACATGTACAATACCCAGGCGTGACGAAATGCTTCACAGCTGCTTCTTGTGCTTCTGCTGCCATCTGTCTCAATCAATGGAACCCGCAACAGGTAGCAATACATTCACGGAGGAAGACTGGCATGCTTTTAGTATTATCTTAGTGCAAGTCGTTAAATTCAAAATTACATATATTCAGAAAATCGGCTGAGTCTGTACTCTTCTAACTATAAGCTATATTTCTGTGTGCACATGATTTCAGATTATAGCATCTAGGGATGGGTAACATTTAATGTAATCAGTTCCTCTGTGATTGGAGTGTCTTTGGTCTATTTTAGCTGAAAAATGAACTGAATGTATGCTTCAATTCCAGAGGGCTCTAATGATGGTATATCATACTTGGGATTATGGAACAGAAGCAGTTCACTGGATGGAAGCAGATCATTACTGGAACGCTGCATTCTTTCAGGACACTGCATGCTATGGACAAAGACCAGGAACTCAATAATCCCAAGCGGATATGACGTTTCATGCGAAAATACAAGAGAAACATTAAAATATTCTCACAGTATCATTCACTTGTTAGTTAAAACTGTAGTCAGTAACTCACACAACATGTGGTCAAATTACGGGATTATTTAATGAATGTGGAAGGAAGTGGTTGTGGCCTAATTTAAAGTACTACCCGAACATTTACCTCACTGATGATAACCCTGAAAACCTCAGTCAGGATGGCTTATAACCCAGCTGAGATCTGAAGTGGTTATCTCCCAAATACAAGTCAGAAGTCTTACTGCTTAAGCCATGATAAGGCTTCTAGAGCACCATCTTAAAAACACTTACATGTCCATACTTGCCATTATCATTGTAACTTAAAATAAAATTATATTTGAAAGGGACTTAATTATTTCAAAGCATCTGTTACACAGCAGTATAATTACATGAACATACAATGTTCTTCAAGGAGGAGGAGGAGGAGGAAAATAAGAAGTAGAAGCTCATGATGACAGGAACAGCTTAAGCCCTAAGCTGTACTACACTGTAGTACATAAACAGCGTTAGAAAATAAAGATATATGATATCTGACAACTGGGCCCTCAGAGATATTTTTGTTTCATAACTTCATAATGACGCATGGCTGACATACTGAATTCTAAAACGGGAGCAACATTATATAATTAAACGTCACAGTAACGAATTTAAATGTCCAGGGAATTTTATCTCCCACTGTAGGAGACATAAGTACACGGAAACTATACCACTTAACTGGCTGAGCACAATGCCATGATTATGGATAGGAAAGTGAAGGTACAGCTCCGCCATTCTTAATGTTAGCATTAAACAGGGATGAGTGGGCAACCTCAAGCTCTGGCCGCTTTACACCTGGTACCTAGTGAAGAGGCTGGGTGGGGTCCCGGAGCCAATCCGGAAGCTGTGGAGAAGAGAAAATCTCTTGCCTCTGCCAGGCATCAAACCATGATTCCTTGATTCTTTTTTCATTTCATGCAACCTGTTGTGTTATTATATACAACTCTTTATTAAGACCATTACAACACAACAATATAGAGTTCAAGGCTAAATCAGCTTTGCTACATGTTTCGGCTATTCATAGCCATCATCAGGCAAATACACAATCATCATGTCTACACACTAGTGAACTGCAATTGCGTGGTAAGTCTCGATACTTGACAATTATCATATTATAAAACACATGTTATAAAAATTACAATGAAATATAAACTTATTATAAAACAAGAGTTATTTCGTAAAATAAGGTTAAAATTATTCAAGTGATAATCTATATCATGAAGTCAGTTGTTGCAATCTTGTATTTTCCCACTGACATGGTATATTCTAGATTTTATATGATAAACTGGTTGGAGGCCCGTGATGTATAATTTTAACATAAATTATTTGGTCGCTGCCTCATTGTACGATGTATTTATATCCGTTATGTAGGGAATACAGACTGCAACTCTGTATTGTTGTGTTGTGATGGCCTTAATAAAAAGATGCATGATTCCTTCATCAACCAGCCTGGAAGCCTTGTCAATACAATGACTGAACTATCTTGGCTCATACTGCATAAAGTGTACTATATACTCATACACTATAGTACACCACATCTTGCTTAGGCAAACTTATGGCAAGAGCTCCCATGTGTGCGTGTTCAAATTTTCCACCAACGTGTGAATACCAGAAATGCAACACAAATATAACCAGGTAACTTCCTAATGATGATATAATGGTCTATGTCACTGACTGATGGTGACACACCCTTGATCCCATAGTGGATCACTTGGGGGAGGGGGGGGAGTCCAACTGGGTCCACTCAGCACGGCGGCCACTCATTGGCCTATTCTAGCCTGCCCCGGGTGATTATGATGATGGAGAATTTGGTGGAATGAAGATTGGCAGGGGAAACCGAAGTACTCGGAGAAAACCCGACCCGGCGCCACTTTTTCCACCACAAATCTCATTTGGCCAGACCAGGGATTGAACCTGGGCTGCTGCGGTGGGAAGCCAGTGCCTAACCGCTTGAGCTATGGCACATCCTAAGTATACATTAGCTGTAATAGATCTAATAGGTTTTCTATGTGTATCACTAGGTAACAGCACAGTCCAGCTTCATAACAACCTAAGTAGCAGATACACATGCACATGTTCTGGTTTCAGTATTCAAAATGGCAACCATGCTTCAGGAGTGTACTACAAAAGAGCAGCATTCTGTTGTATGCTTTTTTTAGTTGGCAGGGGGACTCAATGCAAAGTATATTCATGAAGAAATGTTTCCTGTTTCTGGTGGCACATGTCTGTCGCATAAAACAGTTCACAAATGGCTCAATAAATTCTCTCAAGGACATTCAAGTCACAGATGATGCCCAACCAGGTCACCCTGTTGAGTTTGTGAAAGAAACAACTGTACAGCAGGTGGAAGAGTTGATTTGAGCTGACACGAGGATAATGATAGACAGCGACTATGGTGTTTCCATGGTTTAGCATACAGCATAATGCGTGATTTTATGAAGTTTCAGAAAGTGTGCACACCATGGGTGCCCAGAGAACTGAAGGATCAAGAAAAAATGCACTAAATGGGTCTGTCCTTGTAACATCTCTTACGGTATGCAGACAAATGGGAAAATATGCTTAATAGGATTGTTACTGGGTATGAAACATGGGTGCATCACTACCAACCTGAATCAAAGCACATTTCAGTGCAATGGAAACATCCCAGTTCACCTTCAACTAAGAAGTTCAAAGTTATGCCATTAGCTGGGAAGGTTTATGCTTACCATGTTTTGGGATTCTCTGGGAGCACTGTTAGCCCATCTTCAGAAGCATGGTGAAAATGTGAATTCTGCATCATATTGTGAAGTTCTGCCGAAGCCTTGGGATAAAATTTTCAGAAAACGTCCAGGCCAACAGGCAAGAGGAGTACTGCTTNACACCACATATACACGGTGCCAAATCCCAGAAGACTGCTTTCTTCATAGTCACCGCCGTGAAAGCCTCAAATCAAGAACTACAGTGCGCCTTATGGCGCAGAACTGGACCCTAGTGACTTCCATCTGTATCGTCTGCTAAGAAACCACCTTGGTGGCAACCATTTTGCTGATGACAAAAGAAGGTTGAAATGGAGGTGTGGAAGTGGCTGAGACAACAGTCAAAATACTTCTATGCTGCAGGTTTCAACATACTAGTAAAGAGATGGGACAAGTGTATCAATGCTGCTGGAGGATATAAATGTTTTTTCCAGGTTTGAGTATCACATGTTTATGTTTTACATCCATTTGCAACCTATTTACTGCTCTCCCTTGTATGTTAATGCATTTTCAAATGTCCCATGACTGTGTGAATGAAATTTCATTAGGAATACTATATTTGGCATTGTCCGCTGTCTACAGCATGTCAAACATACAAACATTTTGGAAATTGGATCCCTTTCCATCGCCAGGGGTAAGGGGCAAAAGGATCCTACTTAACTTATCTGTCTGAAGGTGACTAACTCCCTCTAACAGGCCCTGATGAGTAGGGGACCTTTCCCCCTTACTTCTGACATAATTTGACCCAGTTTCTGAAATGCCACATTTATCAAATACAGCACAGACAATGAACAGTGCCCAGCAACACATTTGTGCAATGAAGGTTCCCCGAATGAGATAATTCATGAATTGACACTGATAACAGGATTTTCAAAAACACATTGTTACAAGAAAGTACCCACCTTGACGTGGATTTGGTGCTTGAGCATAGCAGCCCTGAGGATGAGCATCCGTGTCCGCCGTTGATACTCTTTACCTACTGCCAGTGACTTTTCAAATGTTGTGCTCCTCTGGTCAACTTCTTTTGCATACAGTATCTATAAATAAAACATTTTCTTGCAGAGGTCTGCAAAGGCCAAATTTTATAACTATCCAGTGCAGCCTGAGGACCATTTGGCCCAAAGTTTACCTTCAAATATTACCCCTATCTTAACATCCTTTTATCCCAGGCCAAATTAAGTCCAATCTATTCACAATCTGCACTGACTAGTGTGTCATTAATACCTATTTTTTTAACATATAAATGCCAATAATCCTCAAATGAATTATTTAATGATACTTTAAGGACATCTCAGATTACTTCAATGTTAGTGGAATGGAACAGTTACCAAACAGCAGACTTAACAAGTTGTTATTCTGATCTATTTTCAGGAAGGGGCATGCTACAGAAATCCCTGCAACAATCATATTTGTGGGATTTGGTTTTGGAGTCTGACCAAACCCAATATTTCAAACTTGGGGGGAGGGAAAACTTATAAATAAATTGTAAACTCACCACATTTGTACAATGCGTTCAACCAACAAGGAAACTTTGCAACACCGCTGGGCGGTAACAACATTCCTCACAGATTGCTGCTGTAACTGCCAATAGCAGAATGAGTCATTGTCGACGATAAACACATACCGTCACATGGCCTGATTTTGTCACTACACTAAGTAGCATCAATAGTCAGTCTTTGTTTGAGGTGTTGATAGGCAGTCGACATGTATACAGAAATGAAGTTCACTATGGAACAGCGTGTGTTCATTGTCAAAACTTTTGTAAGGAGAAAAGTAACAGAAAATTTATCCATAAGTTTTGCCATAAATATCCTCACTCGCCAGTTCCCACAAAGTCGTGTGTATCCAAGCCCTCTCTCTCTCTCTCTCTGTATCCATAATTTTCACTTTCTTTCTGGAATGTTGATCATTGCCACTCAAAATTCCCTCAAACATATTCACTGGTACTGTAACTGCAGTCAGCCCTAACTGTTCATTGTGTATAAATTTGTCCATCACAGTTGGACATTTGGCCATAACATGTCAATCCTGAGAAAACTGCATATGGGGAACTTTCCATTCAGAATAATGCACGCAAGGATGTCTAGTTCAACCAGCTCATGAGAATCAGATAGCAAAAACGTTCAGGTGATTCAGAATGTTAAATCTTATTGGTGGAACATGCAGAAGTGTTGACTATGTACCTGCCTCAAGTAGCAATGAAGCTTCTTTGAATGGGGCAAGGAAACTCACCAGAATTCATAGCATCTCATACTGCATCGGTCATACTCTCTTTTTCCTGATGTTCCCTATTAGAATGTTTTCACTGTCTTCATAACATGCACTGANTATATTTTATAGTTCCAGACAACTGCTGAATTCCATTTAGTTCTGTTTTTACATCATTCCCTCTCTCATGGCCTAAACTAAACATCATTACTGTTATTATTATTATTATTATTATTATTATTTACTGTTACATATCTTTTTTATTATTCAGATGAACTTGGAAAAATTTAATATCTGATTGTTAAATAAAATATATTCTGCCAAACCGATGTGACTCACTCTCGATGAACTGTGTTTTTCAGGTGATGTATGATACCAGACTGTTTCAGGTATGCGACATCTAATTTCAAGTGTTAGTGAGCTAATGCATGAGGCTGTGCCATAGCTCGGGCAGTTAGCTGCTGGCTTCCCAACGTTGTGGGCCAGGTTTCAGCCCAAATCAGGTCATGTGGGATTCATCGTGGACAAAGTGGTACTCAGGCAGGTCTTCTCTGAGTACATCAGTTTCCCCTGCCATTCTTCATTCCACCAACTCCTCCACAACCACCATCCTCTATTATCTGGGGTTGGTACAACAGGCCAATGGTGGCTGTCTCAGTCTCACCCCACTAAGAATAATAATAAAATAATAATAATAAGCTAATGTATGGTAAGCTTGTTTCCTTTGGATGTTTATGGTATTCTCAGTACAGTACTGCTGATATCTGGCACTCTGTAGAAGGGTACACACAATGTTAGCCCCTTGATCAGAAACAAAAATTAACTTGGATAGAATGTCTGGCTTAAGATCCAATTTTAAAATTTTATTCATTTAACTCACAGAGGCAGATGTGGAGGTGCATTTTCTTGTTGTGTTCATACACTTGCAGTGTGCTGCACTGTCATGTATTACAGTTACTCCTTCTAAAACATGTTTCTACCTTATAATATCATCATTACATAGATTAACACTACTAATAATACAAATTTCACCATCAATGCAGCTATACTTTATTAACTTATGTTCCACTACATTTTTGACTCTTATAGGGTCATCCTCAGGTGTTGTGATTAACATATTTACATACATAGGCTTAAAATGACTACTTTCTATGTACATTTATATTCTAGCATCTAGATGTTGATTTAAATGTAAGATATATATGGAACTAAAAGTTGAATTTAAATTAATTTAAAAGATTTCTATGCTGTACTGATCTTCATGTCTGCTGCTGTAGTAGGCCACAAATCTTTTCATCTGATTCTTTTATTATTGGTTAGATTCGTTAGTGTCAGCTGTCTCTTAAGCATGAATTTAGCTTCTTTCTTATTTCAAGGACGTCAAGTGTTACTGTTGTAGTGTTGTCTAATTTACATGGTATGTTCTGCTGTGTGGTGTATACCTGAGGATGACCCTATAAGGGTTGAAACATGTAGTGGAACATAAGTTAACAAATCATAGATGCACTGATAGCGGAATTTGTATTATCAGTTATACTCATGTAACAGGATGCAAACATTAAAAATAGCAGATTAACACTGCTTTTATAAGACTGCAACTCACTTCCAGTCTATCACTGCTACTTTTATGATTGCAGTTTACAGTTTTCAAAGTTAACTTAGTGCAGTATGCATACTTCCCACTATAATTAGAATGATCAAGTCAAGGAGGATGAGGTGGGCAGGGCATGTAGCACGAATGGGGGAGAAAAATAATGCATACAGGATATTGGTGGGAAAGCCAGAAGGAGAGAGACCACAGGGAAGACCAAGGGGTAGGTGGGTGGACAATATCAGAATGGATCTTAGAGGGATAGGATGGGATGGTATGGACTGGATAGATCTGGCTCAGGATAGGGACCAGTGGAGGGCTCTTGTGAACACGGTAATGAACCTTCAGGTTCCATAAAATGCTGGGAAATTCTTGAGTTGCTGCAGAATTGGCGGCTCCTCCAGAAGGGCTCAGCTCCGTGAGTAAGTAAGTTTAAGTATGCATACTTCCCACTATCAAGTCACATGTCTGTAGATGTACTACACTGCTGTAACTCAATTAAGGACTGAATACTGTGGATGAATGACCTGAATAACATAAACACTATGGTGAAATATTCCTCAACACTACTCTGATCAGCACTAATTTACATGAATGGTGACTCAAAAGCGACCTTCCAGTTTCTGTGGAAGAGTAACCTGAAACAGACTGAAACTGTAAGCACTGAAAAGCACTGAGTTTCTCCTTAGCAGCTACATCTTACACTTCAAGAAATTACTTCCATACTTCACTTTTACCTTCTATTACCGTGCTTTGATTTGCTGTTTGTTTCTGTCTCTGTCATAAGCATATGACAAGTGCAATCATGAATAACTTTTTCTGCAAAGAAAAAGAATGGCCTGACAAAAGCCTGAAATGTCCTACATGAGTCTGATTGCCATAATTTAAAGCATGCCTAAATATGAACCTTACCTGTATTACCAGGCCTAGGCTCAGGCCATACAGATCACTATTTCCTTAATTATTTACAGACACACTAAAAAAATGATTTCTGTGAGATGAAAATTTAGTCTGTGGCCATTATTATTATTATTATTATTGGAGGGGGTGGGTTTCCCCATGCACCGAGACTAATAATCTACTGTATGCCCCCCTTTGATATTCTACCAGTCTCCATACCCTGCCAGTACTGGTGCTCACTATCAGCCCCATTCAGCCAGTGGGGCTGGCTGCGGTACCCGATGCTTCCCCATCTACCGGAGACATTGGAAACTACTTGGGCAGGAAACTTTTTACCTAATTTAGCTCAGAGGTCTCCTAGAGACATGAACATCTTTTATGTGCCGTAAATCTACGACACGGGACCCATGGCTTAAAGTCCCTCCCGGAGGACTTGTTCCCTGAATTTTTCCGCCCTTAAAAATTCCACGACTTCCGCCACGTTTGAACCCGCGTACCATGAGTCATGAGGTGGGAACGTTACCCCTAGACTATGGAGGCCGCTTAGTCTGTGGCCATTGCACAATTTCTGTATTTTGTGGTGTCACTGAAGAACACATTACTTGGCTGTTCATTACCCATCATCAGTCATCTGTCAACTTTCTTAGCCATGCAACACTTCAACCCTGGATGCTTGCCAACATGTCAGTCCACACACATTCCTACATTATTAGACTGGTCTGATCAAGGTGAATGAGATGGGTAGGACATGGCATATAAATATCTACACAGTTTTGTCAATAACTTGAATCGCAGTCACCTACAGTCCAACTCAGTCATAGAAATGAGAATATTAAAATGGTTCTCAAGAAAAAAGTTGTACACTGGATTCAACGAATCCATTACAAGGTGCAGTTGTGGGGTCTTGTCAATTGGGTAATGAAGCTTTGGGTTCCAGAAAAGTGGTACATATCTTGATTAACTAACTGGTATTTTTCCTTCAAATTTTTGTCAGTTGTAGGACAAATTCTGGATGCATGGTTACTGGATAAGTGGAAGTGAACTACTGTTAGAGACAACTAAATTTCAAGTTACATGTTAATGTAGAAAAGAACATAAAACTTGACAAGATAAAAATGTTAACAAACTACATACCTTATTGTGTGAATCGATGCGAGCTTGGATCTGTCCATCTAAGATCAACTGCATGAGTTCGTCCTCAAGCGCCAGGACTGTTGTGTTGAATGCGGCTGCCATCTTCCTCATGTCTGCTGACAGGTATGGACTGAAGTACTGGATGAGGGCACGGTTCCGGATCTGAGTGTACAACGCGTTCACGTGCGGTGCTATGTACATGTCTAGCAAGAGATTATCCTGAAGCAGCAAACACATGCACATATAAGCTTCAGAGTGCATCACGCACATAGAATACAGTTCGTTCATAAGGGAAACCCATTGGAGCATTTCCATTTTACAAAAGTGAAGCATAATGTAACATAAAACGTACTCCTCACCATAGGTCTCCCATTTCTTTTTTAAAAAAGAACTCAGCAGAAAATAAAGGAGTTCCACAAAATCTCACCTTTATTTCATCCAGGAGCTTAAGACAGGATGCATATTTAGACTCATAGAATTTAAATATAATATCCCTGAGCTGTGGTTCCAATTCCAGGAACAATTTGAAAGAACTGAAAAAGAATAAAAACAACAGATTTAAATACATCACCATTTTTCAACTTGCAAAATGGTGCATATCGTGTAGTGTTACACTCAGAATATCAGACTGGCACAGCAAATTCTGTAGACATTGCAGCTGTGAAGTAAACCTAAGCCTTGCAGGTTCAGCCAACTTAATGCAAGAAGCATCTTACTCATCTGCCAGAGTGCATGTTGGCAAAGAAATCAACATACAAACTTGAAAGCTGCAATACATAAATTACCCTACAATCGGTAGCTTCAAGCGCTCTCCCAGGAAAGTAACAGTGGGCTGAAGCAGGACATAATCTATCTAAATAGACCAGATGCCATATAAAAGAACCCCCACACAATAAGATCAAAACTGTATATTCCCCAAATCTCAGAATATGTTCTGCAGTTTTGGGATATGTAACATATGATGCTGTTTCTTCACAAAAGGACCAGAATCTGCCATTGACTTGCTGCTCTGTCATATTTTCATCACAGCCTTGTTCAAGTTCTTGTCAGACTGTTTCAGCTACTTTGAAAATGCCCTTGATTCCTCCAGACAAACTTTCCCATACTTAAACACTGTCCCCTACCTACGGCACTGATGTGAGGCTGCATTTCAGAAGTTGGAACAATGGGTTAGGGAAGATATCACAGAGATCGACGGATGGAAAGAAGTGAGGTGGGAGGGAGAAAGGAACATGGGAAGAATGCGAGATAGAGCTCTTGGAAGACAGACATATATGGCGAGGCTTGGCTGTTAGACAGTTCACATAAAGCAGAAACATTAAAGAAAGTAGACTAATAAAAGGAATAAGAGGAGACAGGAAAATGAGGACAGGAAAGAAGAGGAAAAAGGAACATGAGAATGAGGAAAATGAGGATAAAACAACAGCACTAATCTCATGTTAGTGTTGACACTATATTTCCAAACAAGAAAGTAGAAAAATTGTCAACTCTTTCTTTATTGATGCTGAACCAAGTATTGTTGATACTGGCGACTGCATGAATGAATGAATGAAGAAAAAAAATGGTGTACAAATAGAGTGAAATTGGAGAACCCTGAATTATTTCCAGTACATGCTCATCCACCACAGAACCAAGTCTCTGAGACACAGGAGCTGCATTTTACCACATTTACTGGCATAATTTACACATTCCTACTCATAGGCAAGAAACTGCAGAAAAAAATTAAACAGGCTTACCATATCTTTAAGGTCAATGTACAGCCACAGATTTTTGGATACACAGATACAAAAATATGTAATTCATCTTGCAATTCGCAATTTTGTACACCACAGGTCACCTACTATACATATAAATCAGCTTGAAAAAACATGCGCCATGCAATGCTCACACGGGCCACCAATTTCCAAAGCCATGCAGCAGGGCTTGAATGATGGCGACTGAAAATATCTGAACAAGCACAACCAAATGAACCTGTTTAAATGCTAGCAATCAACGGAAACATCTGATCAAGAGCAATCAAAACTACTTAAATGATGCCTAACGAAATAAAACAATCGAATAGCAGTAACCGAATGGAACTATTCAAATGACATAAACAGCACCAATCAAGTTAAGGTACATGAATGATGGCAACTGAAGAGCTACCACAAGGAGGAAATACAGCATGAAGTATAAAATTTGTTTGTTTTCTTTTATACGGTATTGTGACAAAGATGACCATTGCTAGGCAACAGTTTGTTAAACACAGCCTGTAAGTTGGAATAGCAATGAACAGAAGTGGAAGTCCATTTGATAGGCAATGGTTCGCTAAGAAACGTTCCCACAGAAAGGAACCAGTCCATTGCTAGGCAACAGCTCTGCAAACACACATTCCCATGGCAATGGTCAGAATGACAACTAACTGTTCAAGGTGGTGGTTTCTGTTTGGTTCTCCCAAAGCTATTTTTATAGCTCCCATGCGTGTTTCAGAGACAATACATTCATGACGAGCAGTAGTCGAACCCTTGGTGGTGGTGATCTCTATTCAGTCTGTGAAGATGTGGAAGTAAGCAACAGGAGGAGAACCAGGAGGCATATGCTAAGGTCCAGACAGTTCTTGGAGCTGTAAAGGCAGACAGAGGTTGCTCAGATGACAGAATTTCCCTGTAATCATCATCATCATCCATGCCATCCTCTTCACTGTCAGACACAGGGTGAGCAGCTGGGGGTGTGACACGTGGGGCAGCTTCTTCACTTGTATCATCAGTGTCACTTTCCGGAATAAAGTCACTATCACTGTGAGCTGTATCTAAATATTCTGATATGTCAGAGTCTTCTGACCTAGAGCTCGGACAAGCCATTGTCTAGTTAAAAATGTAAAGTCATTGATTATATATACTATAAATTCTGATAAATATATTGAAAATATTATAAATAATATACACTGCATTCAATGAAAGAGGAGATTTCGCAACACCGCTGACCGGGCCTAGCTTGTTCTACTGTTGCGTGCGCATATTACGTTTACAGAGACGTTACCTGGCAATGTACTGATCAAGTACACCACAATATCTTACAGTATACAGATGAGGGAGAAGATATCCTTAACAGGATTGTTACTGGAAAAGAATCATGGGTGCATCACTACCAACCCGAATCAAAGCACGTTTCAATGCAATGGAAACATTCCAGTTCACCTTCAACTAAAAAGTTTAAGGTTATGCCATCAGCTGGGAAAGTTATGCTTTCCATGTTTTGGGATTCTCTGGGAGCACTGTTAGCCCATTTTCACCAGCATGGTGAAAATGTGAATTCTGCATTGTAGTGCGAAGTTCTGCCGAAGCTTTAAGATGTAATTCACAGAAAACATCCACACCAACCGGCAAGAGGGGTACTGCCTAATAATGAAAATCCAATACCCCACACAGTCTGAGGGAGCCAGAAGAGAATTCGACAACTACAGCTGGAACTTCTTGAACCTTAGAGTCTGGACTTGGCCACTAGTGACTTCCATCTCTTTGGTCTGTTGAAAATCCAACTTGGTGGAAAATGTTTCACTAGAAATGGAGTGTGGAAGTGACTGGGGCAACAGTCAACAGACTTCTATGCTGTTGGTTTCATGCATTGGTAATGCAATGCTACAAGTGTATCAATGATGGAGGATATGTCAAGAAATAAATGTTTTTTCCACGTTTTATGTTTATATCCATTTATGATCTATTTACTGACTATCCCTTGTATAATGAACCAATTACAGAAGAAGCCATGGGGGGAGACAAGTATACTTGACATCACGGCGACAATAACGAATGAGAAGTTGTCACAAACTTTTACAAAATCTTTAACTTCATATACACATCTGAGAGCTGTGGTTCTCACATCAGTGAATATGAAGTTTACTGTCTTCTACACACTGTGTAGTGTGGTAGAAAGTTACCGACATTTCACAAGACTCTGCTGCCTCCATCTTCAAGGCAGAAAACTTGACCATCCTACTGGGCTGAGGGTGGATGCAACAGGTTCCTCCTACTTGTACATACTGGTACCAACTACAAGACCACACAGCTGTCACATCCCACAAGAGAGTAATTTTCCCCGTCACACAAATTCCTTTACAATTTCACACGTACCTTTACCATGTTCAATGCAATTCCAACACACATTCATCCAATTGCTCAGGAGCTCATCCCACAACCTGTGACTCCAGCATCTACATAGACATGTGGCTAACAGCTATGAAGAGTGTGATGTTCTGGGTTGTAACACCACGTTCTTCAGAGAAAGCCCAACATTTGGGGAGGAACTATCACCTCCACCTTTCGGGTCAAAGTAAAAGCTAAGCAAACACAGGTGGGACACTAAGCTAGCTTCTGCTGTTTCTTACTTGGATAGAAGGTGGCAGTACATTCCTCCAAAACATCATGCTCTTTGAATTACAGTGCTACAACCCTGAAGACTTTACTCCTCACAGTCACGCTCATGAAAACCTCAAATTCAGCAGTTATACATATTGCAAAACAATTCATTATAAATCACACTTCCTTGAAAATAAACTTACCTACTAAAAATTACATTCTTCTGAAGTTCGTGACGGTCGAACGTTGCTAGGGCACAGAGGCCACCATACATAGCGACATTGCTAGGTGACAACAGCTCAGGGAAATCACAGTGGTCAAAGTTTCCTACCAGAAAGTGTTTTGCTGCCGACTTATATTTCTTGGTAGCCAATTCTGCCAAGCCAGCCGCACATTTAAGTCTAGTCTGGATTGTTTGGTTGCTATCTTTACCATGTACCTAGAAAATTAAGGAGAGAACTGAAATTACAATTACAAGCAACAGAAACATAATTTAACCTTTATCATCCATGAAGAGGGCGCTTAAATCTGCCACTACTACTGTGCTTGCAGCTGGATTTTAACACGGGGATAATGGTATTTATACTGAGAATAAAGTGACATCTAGCTTGATGGACTGACACATGCCATCACAGCAGTGTGATACATGGGCAACAGAGGTTAAGGCTATTCATTTGGACTTTGTACACTGTCCTACTCTGTTTTACATAAAAACCAAAATGTCTTGGAAGTGGAATCTATTTCCATCCTGCTCTGCTTGGCCCTTATACTGCATCTGAAACATGTGAGGGTGCTTCATCATCAAACACTAATGCATGTTATCACTAAAAAGTTATTAGATTACATTTTAACATAAAATTGGGAACAAAATCATAGTACTTTTACTGTTTGTTATTTAGCAATGCTATCAGTATTGAGACTGGGGCACGCGGTAGTGTAGTGGTTGAGGTGCTACGCTATAAGCTGGAAGGTTGCGGGTTCAAATCCCGATGAGGTCACTGGATTTTCTTTTCAATTGACCTAATCCTTCTGGCCGCACTATGGCCCTGGGGTCGACTCAGCCTCTAACAGAAATGAGTACCAGGAATTAATTAAATAATTTTTCTGGGGAGTAAAGCGTGGCGGGTGTGTAAGGCTGACAACCTTACCGCCATCTGTGAGCCGACTGTCTAGATAATGTGGGACCCTCAATGTCCCACAACCCTATGGGCCTTCATGGCCTGGTACAGGGATAGCTTTACTTTTTGTTCTTACATCAGAAGACGGAATATTTCATATCCATATCCCTTCCCGTTACAATGTAATTATAAACATCAAGTACACAAGCAGAAGCGCTCCAAGTGATACTAAAATGATGCCAACAGCCTATGGAGAAGTAACCAATACTAAAAATATATCACTTAGACATCCACTGGGGGGAGAGGGGGTTATGAAGAACCCTTCTCCATCCTACCACAAGCATCCTTTTATCCATGTCTATTCCCTTCCCTAGTCTCTTTTGCGTATCTTCACTCGCTTGGTTTTCCACCTATTCCTCAGTCTACCAAGTGTAATTCAACACAATTTTTCATTCTCTTACAGATATACAAGTATAACATATGTTAATATCAGCATATCCTGAATTCTTTGTACCCCACAATCCAATCACATTGTCTCAGCACATCTAAGTTAAAAATGCCTGAGCCAAAGAAATCATCATTAACACACCATCCCTTTTTGAACCACAGCCTACCTTAGAAGATTTTGCTACATTTGTCTATTCCTGGCTATGCTGTCGTGAATTAGACCATCTGGTTTTCACTTCTCCGGAGTTTGCAAAAATAATCAAATAATAATCAAAAACAGAGCAAAATCTTAAGCCTTGTATCTAACCCCAAACTTGGATGTCTAGGTCTCTGTATTTATGTCCTCCAGTGACAGGGTGGTCCAGTTATACCCCCAGAGATTGTGTTCCCTTTTTATCACCTTCTATGACTCACAGGGTTACAGGGGAGGTATTCTAACCCACCTCAACATGGAACACCAAAGAGATCAGCTCCATCTTAATCACTCAGCAGAGCACTTCTGTAAACAGATGACATCAAGTGTCATACATCAATGTTTAGACAAAGAAACAGGCTTTCACACTACCCACACCTGTGGTCTTTTGAAGATAATCTGTGAAAGCACAGTGAGACTTTTTGTGCAACTGCATTCACCCCCAAACAGCCTTGACATATTTAGCAGGTAGTTCGGTCATCAGCCTTGGCAGTGAGAGGGCTGACCAAACCCCTGCTAACACAATACAAAGTTTCGACACTGCTAAAGGTAATATCTGCCACTGCACATGAACCCAAGCCAGTCACATCCATCTCTCATCTTCACAACTTATTTCCTATAATGCATTTTAATGTAGCATATCTTAGCCTTCCAAGAGATTTCCTCAACAAAATTCTATATGCATTCCTTGTGTCCCAAACCTAGATTTCATTGCCTTAACAACACTAGATGACACCCATAAATCACGAAATTCCTCAACAGAAACCATGTAAAAAAAACAGGTGTACAAAGTCGTTCAGTTACCCCGAATCTAAAGCACCAACAAGTAGCATGTCCTACATTCCTAAACCAAAATATTTTCATAATTCATACCTCGGAGAAATCTGGAGTTGCTTCTGCTTTACTGACGTAACTCAGAACATGTGACCAGTTCTGCAAATATACACTAACCTGCAAGCAAAATGATATCTCTGTAAGACCAGATACAGCTGATATCCCAAGATGTATTTGCATTTGGTGACATGAGCATGATTCTAAGTCATGGTATATAGTGGCTGTCTACACAACACTTACTTAACAACAAAACAGAGCAGACAACAGTGTCAGGATTAATTAGGATTAATTTACTGTTGTTATAGTATATCACTACTTGCTTCGATCTTAACAGAACATCATCATATGGATTAAAAATACATAAATACACACTCACTGAAGTGTAAGTTATTGCTGAAATGAATTCTATACAATAGGTCCACCTTTAAGATGTGCTATAATTTAGAATAAAACAGAATAAATCCTTTAAATTGAGGATGAGGTTATGTGTGGTTTTGTGTATATAATATTGATATGCTGTGGTGAGTGTTGTGTGCGGTTTGATGGGTGTGTGCATGTGTTTCTGTGTTTTCTAATCTGTGCTTTCTTGCTGAGCAGTTTCCCAAGATCTTCCTAATGGCATATTCTAAAGCAAAGTTGAAAAGCAATGGCAATAAAGCATCTCCTTGTTTTAGATCATTTTGAATAGGAAACTTAACAGACAAAAGTTTAAGTAAATGGATTTTACTATAGGTTTCATCTAAACACATTTAATCAGCCTAACAGTTTCATGGGTACCACAAACTCTCAGAATACTGTACATTACTTCCCTCCTAACCGAATCACAGGCTTTCTTGAAGTCTACAAATAGCTGATGTACTGCCTCACTGTACTCCCATTTTTTCTCCAGTATCTGATGAATGCAAAAAATATGATGTGTAGTTGATGTGCCACATTGAAACCCACACTGATGACCCCTAATAATTTCATCTACATATGGACTTAACTTCGAGAAAAGATGTTAACAACATTTTATAATCACATCATAAGTACACTTTATTTTTTGTGTGTATCATAAAGAGTTTCTAGCGTAACATCCCAAAAGACAGCGCTTTTTAGTCATTGCAATGAAAACCTCAAGACCCACATTTCAAATATATTCAAGTGTTTAACTTCTTTACTTTATACCACAGATGTCTCATAAAAATATTTATAACTGAAATTGCTACTTAAGACTGAGTTCCTCTGTGAGTCAAGTTAATGTCGAAAAAACTGTTTTACTAAGACAAAATAATGTAATAAACCATACCTTGATGACATTAAGGCACATGTTAACTACATGTTTGCCACTAGTACAATAGTCACGAGCACGTGAATAACATTTAAGGGCATTGGATAAATCACCACAGTCAAGGTAATGATCACCCAAATCGTCATGCCCTCGCCGGATGCTCTCCTTGATTGAATTTGACTTGTAGTTTTTCAGATCTGTGTCCAGTTTCTCCAGCTTAAACAAAGCAATCAAGTATAGTCTCAACAACAAAAGTCAGCTGCTGAGCTATTTAAACAATTTTTTCGTAACATTCCACATACAGTATGTATAAAAAACACTTTCATACCTCAGAAGGCACACTAAATGCATTCTAAATGTTCCATTTTCCAGGAAGGTAATACAGCACATTACACATAAAAATTCTGTGAACTCTAAGATTTCAAAAGCAGATACTTAAAACTATCAGTGTTGTTCTTATACTCAAAACACTAACTTCTTTCTAAGAACTACTACTATTGAAGCAAATAGTGATTATTAAAGCTAGGATTTTTATGTAGATGCTCAAACATGATCTCCATGAACTGCAGCATTAGCATTGCTGCAGTTGAATTTTATTTTACATATTTTCACATATTTTGGCATTTCCTATATATTTCTTGGGAAATTACATAAACCTATATATTTCGTGACATTTTTTTTCTTTGGCTGCATTTTAAACTGGAATGTGCCTACATTTTTTGTGTGCATTTTGGTGAAATATTGTACTAACAGTCTCCTCCGCCCTTCCAAAAGACTTTTTCTGGAATGATGGGGAAATCCGGAAGGAATTAACTCTTTTGTAAAGCAGAGTAAACTATGAGGTAGTATCAGAAAGTTCCCAGACTAGGTTTGAAAATGTTGTCCCTTCAGTTTTATTTTCAATTTGGGAAACAGCAAAATCACAGGGGGCTAAGTCCGGTGAGCAGGGAGGATTGGGAACTATAACCATGTTCTTGTTAGTCAGAAACTCTGTGATTTTCAGGGATGTGTGGTCAGGAGTGTTGTCATGATGAAGGACCAATGGGGTGCATGTTCAAATTTTCTGTTAAGATCTCCTGGCAAACTCCATAACTGATACCAACAGTGTCTGCAAGCTCATGGATTGTTCTGCAATGGTCTTCATTGGTGCTTGGTCACCCTGAACATTTGTCATTTTCAAATGATACTCAACTGGCCTTGAAACATGAATACCTTCCAAATACTGCTGTCTGGTTTAAAGAATGTTCTCCAAAAGACTCATGAAGCCTTCTGGTTCTGGTAGCGGATTTAGCGAGCTTCACGCAAAACTTGATGCAGACACATTGCTTGATTTTGCCATCCATCTCAGACAAAACGAAACACAAAGTCGAAAAAGCATTCATGTAAAAAAAATGTGGGTTCACAGAGCATCAGGTTTGTGGAAGTACGTAGGAAAATCATAAAATTTTAATTATCACCCAGAAGAAACAGAGACACACGTGTAAGAAATTGTGAGTTAGCCCTTCTCTACATATGCCCCTTGCAAGGCCACATTTCTTTCCCCAATGATGCATTAGCTGCTGGATACCTTGATCACAGAAGGTCTCATTTTGACTGTTTAGGAAGTCCTCCACAGCAGAAATGTCATCATCATCTTAGAATTGTTTACCACGAGGTGGCTTCTTTAGTCAAGGAAATAGGAAGAAGTTGCTCAGTGCCAGGTCTGGTGAATATGGTGGATGAGGGAGAATTTCATATCTCAAACAGGCAGCAAGTGTTGTAGTAGCATGAGCAGCGCATTGTTGTGAAGAAGTCGCACACCTCTTCCCAGTATTCCATGTTGCTCTTTCTTGATTTCCTCCTGTAATTTTCTCAGAAGGTTCCGGTAATACTTGCCACTGATTGTGATGCCCTTTTGCCACTCCTAACAACCTGCATTCTTGTTTTGAAATTTTTGAAAGTGATTTTAATCTTGTATCAGCAGTTCAATGAGTTAAGGTCAAGTTTATGTAGTCAATATCACTGTGACACTGGTTATATCCTCTCTGGCGTTAAAGTTAAATTTTTGGGTAAAAAACAGATGATTCCTTCATAACTGACAGTAAAATCATAACATGTCTGGCTTATTACCAAAGTATTGGGTCTTCTATGAAATCACAGTTGAAGCAACATGCACAAAGCTCACTATATACAAAGAACAAGCAACTGAGTTCTTTGAAGAAGCAATTGTCCTGGACACAGATGCAGCAATCTTAGACCTCAAGAAATGAATTCTTCGAGGATATGTGCAATTGGATGTTATCTGCAAAAATCCTCTGGTTTAAACTCCAAATGCCCGAATTTTGATCCTTTTAGGAAAAGTATTGCAAGCAACATATTCCAGGGCAGTCAACACTTCAAAAACATTACCTGTCTATGTGCTATGAAGAAACCATGGAAAACATAAGAGGTAACACAGGAGATGCCTTTATATGGGTTACTGTGCATGACGTTGAAGTTCCTTCTAATGCACATTTCATTTGCTCCAAAGTTCTGCACCATATAAATCATTCCACTTTTGCAAGATCTGTGAATTATGGACTTAACTGTGGCCTACTGGAGCTCATGAGGAGAAGTTGCTAATTTTGTATTCAAGTGCTATGGAATAAATGCTGAAAGCTGCAACTGTGTTCAAAGTGTTTTACCCTAATCTGATTCATGGACTGCAACATGTTGCCAAGGAGGTTACAAGCAAATTACCCCAAGCGAATAAGTGGACCAATGCCAACAAGAATGAGAACCTGGACAGAAGCAGTCAACTTCTACAGTGAACACTCTGAAACTACAAAATCAATTGTAGCCAAGTTCCCATCTGAGCCTGCTATTTCAGTGCGTGAATACCAGAGTACATTCAGCGATCCAAAAATGGTCTGTTCAATTGCCTACATTCGATGAAATTTTGGCTGGCTTCCGCAGAGTATACAATATTTAGAAACCCAGGGACTTCCTCCGCAAGAACCGATGGACATAATGAAAAATGTAAATGAAAAGCTTAGTGTTGTGAAAGGGGAGGCTGGTGAAAGTGTGTCCACCAAGTTGCAGGCTGTGTTAAAAGGAAACCCTGGATTTTCAACATTTACCAAGGTCTCTCAGGCACTTAATGGAGACAATGTAGATCCGCCTGAAGACATTGCTCCTGAGAAAATTCCTTTGTTAAAATAAGCACCAGTAACATCTTGTGATGTAGAAAGATCCCTTTCAGCCTACAAACACATTCTATCAGATAAAGGCAATAAATGACCCTAGAAAATATGGAAAAGCTTCTAATTGTGTATTGTGCATCAAAATATCAATGACTGTGCCAAAAGACTGTAAATAAAAGTTGCTTGCAAAACTAAATATTACTTTTATGTGATGTTACATATATCCAACTAGCGTCGAGGTCAAGAAAACATGGATCTATACATCCACTCCCCCACACGCCTTCATGGCGTATAGCTCAATTAGTTTCGCACAGAGACACCTTTACCTTTACCTTTACCTTATATATATTTTATTACACATTTCAGATGTTTCTGTTACATAATTATGTACGCATTTTGCACGATGATAATAATAATACAGAAAAATCCTAGCTCTAGTGACTATGATCACGTAACATCCTATGCAGTTACAACACAGTTCACATTTTACTAAAGTTGCCACTTACATCATGGACGAGAAATAACTGCTTTTTGTTCTATGAGCTGTACAGACACTATAAATACACTCTCTGGGCAAAATACTTAGATTGTGGATGTTAAAGTACATGGTACATGCTGCAGTAATCATTGTGCTTTAGGGTGTTAATGTGACCCATATTGAGTTCCACCTTCTCACACACAGTACTGTAATTACACACACACACACACACACAAAAGTACTACTACTACTACTACTACTAAACAACATCAACAGTTTCTCTGGGGGACAATACTTCTGTACACCTATCTGTAGAAAACCCAAAATGGAGGATATTTAACATTGGTTTACTGCCTTCTGATAATTACATTTGAACCTTGAACAGGGCAAAACCTACATCACTTACTTACTCATGGAACTGAGCCCTTCTTGAGGAGCTGCCAATTCTGCAGCTACTCAAAAATTTCCCAGCATTTTATGGAATCCGAAGGTTCATTACCATGCTCACAAGAGCCCTCCACTGGTCCCTATCCTGAGCCAGATCAATCCAATCCATAACCTTACATTACTGAGGAACTTAAAAAGATCATGACACTAAACCATTCTGTAACTACATAGTTTTTCCAGGCATGTTTGGACACCCACATACAGACCATGTACACAATACAGAAATACGGAATACATTATAAATATGTGCTTTGGATGAAAGAATCCAAGACTACACAAACAAGTGGCATAATCACTTCTTAAGAAGGGACTCTTAAAGACTTACAGAAAAAGTTAAGAATTACCAGACAGACAGAAGACGAAATGTTGGAAGACCATGATGATGATAGGAGGATAGTCTTTGAGATGGAATGGGGAAATGAAAGCCTGTCCTGAAGTAAATGATGATGATCGGGTCTGGTCAAGTGGGATTTGTGGTGGACAAAGTGGCGCTGGGGCAGGTTTTCTCCGAGTACTTTGGATTCCCGTCCCAATCTTCATTCCACCAATTGCTCCACAATCACCCTCACCTATCACCTGGGGCTGGTACAGTAGGCCAGAAGTGGCCGCAGTACAAGGGACTTAGTGCCACCCCACTAGCATTAAAAAAATTGATGATGATGATGAATACTAATATATTATAATATTACATTATGTAATTATATATTATTATTATTCACTTCTTTATTTACTTGTGTGCTGAGCTCAACAGCCAGCGGCTAGTTACAGAGTCAGCATGAATACAATCAACGGCCATGAGAGAACATAGCAAAAGAAAAAGTGGTGGTGGTGGTAGAGGTGGATGATTTCCCTTGTAAGGCTCTTCTTTTAAAATAGGTATCACAGTTCATATTTGAGTGTTATAGTATAGTGGTACAGTCACAAATTTGCATGAGAGAACTGTATCAAATGTTTTTCTTCATATGATCATAAAATAAATATGTAAACATGAAATACCTTTAGTGCTGCCTTTTTAGATTTGGACTCAACCCAGAGCAAGTCAAGGGTGGGGATGTCCTGTGACGTGGACTGAACACCACTGCTGCTACCACTTCCCCCACCACCCGCTACATCAGGCAAGTTGGAAACTCTGAAATGACAAAAATTTTATTTGAAAGAATCTATAGTATAGCTTGGACAGTTACAATCTGCCTCACAGGGTTCCTATTCAGATGTCTGAAACAAGGGGCGACTTTACAGCCACTGCTTTCAACTTTGCATTATGATATGCCACTAGGAAGGTCCTAGCAAATGCGGAGGCACTGGAACTGACTGGAACACTCCAGTTTACAGTTTATGCTCATTTTAATTTATTGAGCAGAAACATAACTGCCATAAGGGAAGTAACATAATCACTCACTATTATATGCTAGTATGTAAGCTGATCTAGAAATAAATGCAGAGAAACCTAAGTATATGTTCATGTCAAAACACAAAACTGCAAGACAATGTCATAATATAAAGTCAAATCCTTTGAAAATGTGGCAAAGGTCAAATATTTGGGGAATGGTTGCTATCATTCAAATCAGAATCCTTTGTTTTCCTGTCTCCTACATAAAAAATTAAAGCTTAAAATGTACAAAATTATAGTTTTACTTCTTGTTTTGGAGGGATGAAAAATGTGGCCTCTCACATTAGGAGCAGAATATAAAATTATGATTTTTGAAAACAGGGTACTTAGGCGAATGTCTGAACCCAGCAGAGAGGAAATGACAAGTGTTGGAGAAAGGAGCATAATAAAATGCTTCATAATTGGCAACCTTCAAGAAATATCAATAGTATTATCAGATCAAGGTTGCGATGGGTGTGGCATACACATGCACAAGAGGGATCAGAAAGGCACATAAATTTTAATTAAGATCTAAAAGTTTGTGATGATAAAAGTACAACTTTTATGATTCTGGAAATTATCCACCATTTTGTCTTTATCTAAAAACTGTCCTGTTTATTTTTCAAAACACAATATTTTGAAGACTGGATTCTGTCTCCATCTTCAGGTAAAACCTAATCAGCTGGGCCCAATCGATAGAACTAGACCCTATCTCCAGACACCTGTGCCAGCTCCAAGATGGGGTACATAAATCAAACACAGCACAAACAATCTGCGAGAGCTAAGAAAACATTAAATTATTAAAACTCCACACATTAAAATGAAAACTGACTCCTTACCACAGCAAAGCCCTCGCCTCTATGGACTTCCCAAGATACACAAGCCTAACATCCCAGTCACACCAAGAGTTAGTTCTATTGACTCTCCCTCTTATGCTATAGCAGAATTCCTCCATAAGATCCTGAGCCCTCTGACTGGCAATACATACTCCTTCGTAAACAACTCAGAACACTTTATTAATCCAATACAGGATATCAACCTGAAAAAAGAAGACTACCTTGTAAGTTTTGACATTGTTAGTCTATTCACCAATGTATTAGTGGAAGAGGTCTTATAAGTGATAAGAAATAGACTCAGTAAGGATCTTTCCTTCCCAGAGTGCCCACCTTCGCAAACTGAAGATGCGATGGAACTACTGGACATCTGCTTAACAACCACATACTTAAAGTTTTAGGATAAATTCTGCCAACAAAAAGAGGGTATGGCAATGGGAAATTATCTCAAGTGGTCAGTAATATATTCATGGAGCATTTTGAAGAAATGGCATTGGACACAGCCGATTACAAACCCACTAAATGACTAAGATACATCGATGACACATTTGTGACACGGTCACATGGACTGGAAAAGTTACAGGAATTTCTCCACCATATCAACAGCATTAAGCCTACCATCAAATTCACTATGGAAGTTGAGGCTAATAATACGCTTCCATTCTTGGGCATTTTAGTTACGAAGCAGGGTCCAAAACTGACCACAAAAGTTTACCGGGAGCCTACTCTTACAAGGTATCTTCACTTCAAGTTCAACTACTCACATCATGTAAAAAGCGGAGTCATTCATGGTTTGGTCGACTAAGCGAAAGTCGTATGTCAAAACCAGAAGGATTTTAACAACAAAATTAAAAACATAAGACATGATCTGATGCTCAAAGAATATGCAAAAGAATTTGTTGACTGTAATGAAGCCACCAGCAAGAAATAATCCCTCTTCAGACACAGTATACCAGGGCACTGTCACCATCCTGTATGTTAAGGGCACTTCTGAGAAATTAAGATGCATCAGGAACTATTTCCTTCACAGAACCATCTTCAAAACTAAACATACACTCCATGGGACATTGATGAAAACTGGACTGGTTAGAGATGCCCAGCAGATGAAGCAGCGTGTGTACAGCATCCCATGCGACTGCAGCAGATGCTACATCAGCAAAACAAGTAGACCCTTAGAAGTACGCATTAAGGAGTACAAATATAACCTGACACAGGGTTTGCCGGAAAAATCAAAATTAGCCCAACACACGTATGAGGAAGGCCACAAAATATTGTTGCGTGTTGGGTACGTATCACGTGACAGATAACTTCACGCCGTTTTGGATCTAGCAAATTTATTGAACAGTCGCTCTTACACATACACATACCCAATTCACAATTTCCCAATCACTGCCATCTGCAGTATCACAATTACTTCTCCTGCTGTAGTCACCGCCATTCACTCGATACAACTGAACTCGTAGCTGCTGGACTTCAACTGCACTCAGCGACTGCTAGACTTCCACTAGACTCCTTTCTAGGCGTTCCTGTTTCTCTTATAAATCCCGTCAGACAGTGGAAAACACACCTCGCTTCCTTGTTGTGTAATCGCCGTGTTTACCAATTGCCTAGCAACAGTCGCTGCATGGACTTGCCTGTTGCGTGACATCACAGTTTAGCGGGGAGGGGTGTTTACCGAGTGTTGCGTAATGATGGAAGGAGTGGGGGTATGGGATGTCACTTGCGGAAACGCAGAGTTCACGTGACCCCTACTTCCTGTTGCGTCATCCACGTTACAATATGTTGGAATGAAGTGAAGGTCTTGTAGATTGAGCCCATCACAACACACAGGAAAAAGAAGGAATCAGCCCACATGTCTCTGCTGGACCACCCAATCAGTCAACCCAGTGTGGACATCTCTCCCATCTGGACCCCTGTTATCACAGCAGAAGCCAAGAGACTACAACACCGTCAAGAGTAGTTTGATTGGAAAATATCTGTTTTTCTTGTGTTGGTACCATAATAAGTATTACTTCTCTCCAGCGATGATTTCAATTGAGATACTTCTCTGGTTCAAGGCCTCATGCATGTAGAGTTTCAATAATTGAATGTTTCCTCAACTCTCGTAGATGACTTGTGCTGTGTTTCATTTATGTACCCCATCTCGGAGCTGGCACAGGTGTCCAGAGATATGGACTAGCTCTATCGATTGGGCCCAACTGAGTAGGTTTTACCTGGATAGAATCCAGTCTCCGAAACACTATGTTTTGAAAAATAAACAGGATGGTTTTTAGATAAAGACAAGATGATGGATAATGTCCATAAACACAATATGTGCATATAAATTTTGATTGCAATACCTGATCCAAAGATAACACTTGGGCAGAAGTGGGCATAGATGGGTAGATACTATTAAAATAAAGCTTAGAGATAAAGGACAGAATGTGTACACTGGATTCATGTGGCTGAGGACATGGACCAACGGTTTGTTCCTGTGAACACTGTATGACTTCAGAATCAATAAACTGCTGGGAATTTCATGACTAGCTGAGCATCAGCTGATCAAGGACTCTGCACCATAGACTTAGTTATAACCTTTAAAGGTGCATTCTAATGAGACATCTCCAAACACTATTATCTACCAGTGAGGTTCAAGCACCTAATGTGTCACTGCACAACCATGGCACTCATCAAATGAACATGATCTTGCAATGATTGAGTCTTTTTCCTCTACAGCAAGGAACAGAATTTCAGGATACAGTAAGACCGTCAAAATAATTAGCTTCATGTTCTTCTCCATTTAACAACAGAGGATTTCACAGAATAATATTAAAATGGAGCCTAGGAAAATAATTTACAAAAATGTGAATATTTTTTGGATTATCTGGTTCTATTATTAAGACACTTCCTTAGAGAATTGCAAGTCACTGCATTAATAAATCATTTTCTTCAGTTTTAAGAACACTTTATTTAAATAAATGTCTTCCCTCATTTGCAATGTAGTTAAAATTTAAAATCCTTCTTTGAAGTTTTTTTAAACAAACATACTGCAAATTCAAATATTAAACAATCTCAAACACAAAATCAATTAACAGCTGTTAATATAATTATTGAACCAAACATGCATTACATATTGTGGTATGTAGACCTGTTGCTAGGTGGTGACCATAAGATAAGCAACAACTGAACAGCAACAGAGGAACAGTGCTTTCTATGCAGTCTGTGCTGAGATATTATAGGTGGGACAAGTTTGGAGCTGAAGTTAGTTCAGAATCAAGGCAGAGATGAACCAGTGGTTCGAAACCTACCTGAGGTAAAACCAAAAACTCCTCTCTTGGGAGTCAGTAGTACTGACATACCACTACAGGGGGCTAGTACTTCTAGCACACCTGCAGCAGGACTGGGACACCTAGTCTCTGGAGTAGGTGGACCCCATCTAGCAAAGAAGGCCTTGTCTGGAAGCACTAGACGGAAATTAAAAAAGGCAAGAGCTGGGGGCAGTCAGCAAACAGGAAATGCAGACTCGCCCAAGCAGGGAGAAGCCCCCACCAGGACCTTTAAGAGGCCAAGGTCAGAGGGCAGTACCCCTACAGAAATGGCCAGAGCTCCAAAAAGGCCCAGGGACTCTAAGGGACCAGGGACTTATAAGGAGGCTCTGACCAATATAAAAGTAGCTATCTTCAAGGAAATGTATCCTGAAGACAAGCTATCATAGGGAGACTAGGACTCCATTTTGGAGGAACTGGAACAGGTGTTACATAGACTCCTTTGGGAGAACTACCACGCCTGAAACCATACAGACTGGAGGGAGGGGCATTAATATATACATGTGCCGACTAACAGTCTGGACAGTGGCTCGTTAGAACCATAGATAATCATAGATTAAAATCAGGGGCTAGGCTGAAGATTACTGATGCCAACAACCTGCCCAAACCTGTGAAGGTGGCT